CATTCCTGTCCTGCTTAAACAAGCTTCAGATGGATTTCTGTTCTGTGGAATCAATACAATACAAGGTATTTTAAACCTCTGCTTTGAACTATCTCTCTAGCTTAGCTGTTCTTTTGAAAGTTATTTGTACCAAACAATTCAAATTTGAGTTTTGGGAAGGCAAAATCCCCGTATTGTGTGTTGTTGACTGAAAGGAGATCCCTAGGCCTTAGCCACTGGCTTTGGTTGAGGAACTGAGATAACTTAAAAGCCTGGCGTGGATTTTCACTAGAGTGAGGGCTCCACCATGAGCGGGATCAGGGTACCCACAGGCCGCTTTGGATTTACTCTGCATTTTCATCAGGTACCAGATGGACCCTCTAACAGAAGTCTACACCACAAAGCCTGGGAGAACCTGAGGCCCGGCGTTACAATAGCCAGTCATTTTGGCTTCGGCTTGTCATAATTGATAAGGTCTATCTTTCTGACAGCATTTGCCCAACTGGTTCCTGTATCTTTTGAAGGCATGTCCTACAAGAGCTGAGCCCAAGGCATTATGGCTTGGAGGAGGGTTTGCTTGAACTATTTGCTGTGGCAGAATGTTACGTATCTAGTTTACTAAAAACTATATGACATTATTCAGGAATTAAACAGGAGATCTTAGGAACAGTTTTGTTTGTACTTTTTAAGACAGAAATTTACTTGGTTTAAAAGCACCTCCATCCGTCTGATTCTGGTAGAGATACTGTGATAAAAGCTTTCAGGAATGTCGATAGCTCAAAACTGGCATTAGCCCATACACAGTTCTTGTCTACTGAAGTCTAGTAGGAGACTGATAGATTGTGACAGTCTTGAATGATTAGACAATGGTCATACTAAAGCTGGATATTGTAAGGTTGCTACAAAATTCATTTCAAAGGATATATATGCCAGCACAGCCCTGGGAAACCAATGCTTATTTACTCAGTTGCTCAAAAACTAACTTCCTTACGGAACTGAGTACCCCATCATGAAGTGTAAAATCATTTCCAGAGAACCTCTCAAAAGCTACTGAATGGAGAATTTTACAAAAAGTCATTTTCTTAGCAGATAAGATATTTTAATGTTGGTTTCAACCTTTCAATAAGTCAGACTCTTAAGATGCCCCTTTATTTTTCTTTAAAATTTAACCAGTTATTCCAAAGTCAGCTATGAAGCAGGCCTCCCTCATTCAAAACCAATTTACCTGCAGAAGGTTAGCATACTATTTCTTTAGGATCCTCAGAATCCTCAATTCTGTAAAACAAAACAAAACAAAACACCCCAAAAACTATTAAAAAAATCTGCCCAATTGATTTTTTTTTTTTTTTTAAGGCGGGTAGGAAGGAAGGCATTTGTGCCTTTTATCTGAGGATTTCCTTCCGCGTAAACTTGTATGATCGATCTGGAGTGCGACTTCGTGGGTTCAAATTCTGGCTCCACTTCTTACTAGCTAGCAGGAGGGAGGGTGGGAGGGTAGAAAATCGCCCCACTTTGCCCATGCAAGCATTTCAATCATTCACTTGGAAAGAGAAATCATTTAAGATTATACCGTTTGATTGTAAATGTATCACTATAGTGCGTGTGATCTTGGGTAAGTCATATAATCTCCCTGAACCCATTTCCTCAACTGTAAACCGGGAAACAATAGAGATTCGCAGCGTCGGTAAAGCTCAAAAAGCACAGGGCTGTCACGTGGTAAACGCCCAACTTCTTTACTTACACTTGATAACCCCGGAGGCTCGGAAGTACACTTCCTACCTGGGTAACTACTATACATCCCACCCTTTCTCCGGGCTAGTCCTTTCCCCAACCTTGGAGAAAAGACCATTTCTCTCCCGGGTCTTTAAAATACTTTGTACTAGCCGACCCAAGCGCCTTGGGCTTCCCCTTTGACAAGAGAGTCCCCACTCCGAGAGCAACGCGAGCCCAGATCCGGCCTTCGGGTGGCGGCCCGGGCGGGCGCGGCTGTGCGTGAGCCGCGGACGGTGGTGGCGGGCCGC